GTAAGGATGAATTTTCCGCGGAAGTTTTCTGCAAACCTCCTGCAAAACCCAAAGTCCAGAAATGTCACACTTCTGAAAAACTACAGCCAGTTTGTAGAGAACATTGAGTTACGTATACGTGTGAAGTTAAAGCCTAAATGGACACACCACTGTTTGGCCAAAAGCCCAAATAACTGTTTGACAGTAAAAAACTCGTATGAATCCCTTACCATTTATTTCCCAAGAGGAACAAATTAAAAATTCTAAGACCTACATCCGATAGCCCGTCAAAAGTTAGCTATAGATCAATAGTTCTCTCTGAAAATATCGCACACACTAGGGCACAAAATGCAAAAACGAGCTAAATGGTAACGCACTCATTCTTCGTTTGATGAAGTTTTCAGACGGCCGGTTTGCACCAGGAAAAAAGAAGAAGCCTTAGTAACCAGTCTAGAATAAAGTTCATTTGCTGAAGATTCTTTTCACGCTATAGATTCATCATAAAACGATTTGGGACGGTCTGCTGATGATCTCCTATTTCATATGATTAAAAACACAACTATAAGATTCACGACTAGAAAATATTTCGAGCTCTCGTTCTTCCTCAAAATGAAGGGATGAAAAAAAATTCATATTCTTATAGAACGGGCTTTACAAAATAGCCATCTTGAATCTGAAAAATTTCAAATTCAACTTTGATCATGCAGATTGACCGTTAGCGGGACAGGCCGTATAGATGATGCTCGTAGAGTAATTAAAAGGATAAATTGATATTATGCCAAAAAGATAATGCGGTTTGTTGGATAGAAATTGATGTCAACGTTTCGTCAACATTGTATCGCCCTTACCTAAATGCTTTATCTCATTGTAGATCACCAAGATTGCTATCCTGCACGTCTGAATCACCATGTTTTGGAACGGTGTTCATATTCATTTGATGATTCATTCCCAACACATTGCAAGTAAATATCTAACTGATTATTATTTATCTATTTATTTGATAAAAAAAGAATATATTTAATACTACTACTTTGTTACTGATTTTTTTAGAGAATTTTTACATTCAACAAAATGTTTGGATCGATATCAACATGATTTAATTCAGCATGATTCACAATGTGCGCAAAACAAGGCAATAAATTATTTCTTTACCGATTTAGCACAACGTTTTCAAACAGCCATAACCGTTTGTGAACCAGTCATCTCTTTATAAAAACCAGTATATAAATATACATTGTTGTCTTTGTTTTCTTATATATGAATCGATATGTAATAAAACAAAACATCTTTACAATCTAACTTCCAACCGATGAATTTTGAACTATCATCCCTTATACATAATATCAGATCACTAAATAAGCACATCAATTCTACTTGACTATCTTTTTTTGTAGCTAAATCGAATTTCTTTCCTGATATTTGGCACTAAGAAAATCTTTTGTGGTACAAATAATACTGTACGATTATATGAGCACATAATATATATATAGTGCAACTTAAAACAGTGTTCCATCTTCAATATAAAAAAAGTATTTGATTTGAAAATGGATATAGATCAGATGAACTAAAAGCATTTTAATTATTCAAAACATTTAAGATCCATGCGAGAGATCAGGTGATTAATGCTACTGCTAAAACCTAATCATATGGCTATGTCCTATTAAATCAAAGAATTCAGACATTTATTGTACCAAATTATTAACAAGAATTTGAGAGTAGATTTTAAAATACAAAATGAAGTAGCAGCTGTATGTGTATTAGAACTAGACTGAAGAAACCCACCACAACCAATCTCTTAAATGGTCGATGTCGGGCAAATACGCATGTTTGTAGAAAAAATCAATGGAGTTAAAGTATCGAATTGATTTAAATTAATAAATAAGTATATCTGAGCTCGAATAAACAACATTTAATAAAAAATCATATATTAATAGGTTGAACTATTAAATTATCTTAGATTTCAAAGGCAGAGCAGATAAATCATTAAAACTGATGATGAACAAAATAAATGGTGACGAATGAAATACTTTACAAATAAGTCTGTCAACATGGTTTATTATATTGTTAATATATAAACTATCTATATTCACTAAAATTAAGCGAAGAAAGGTATAGCAGCGATATATTATAACGAGAGCCCATCAGATACAATCGTGTCATAAACTAACAGTTTAATTTCACTTATATATGTAAAAGTTTGAACAACAAGTTATTTCTTCCTTGCTATCTTTTGACTAACCACAATCCATCTCAAAAGAAAATACAGTGCACTATTTTTCAAATAAAGTTTGATGAAATAAATGATGCAGGCAAATGGCTTTCACTCTCTTGAAGCCCATCATCAGTCCATAAAAGAAAAGAGCTTAAAAAACAACATTTGAAGGTGGTGCAATCACCTTACACGTCCTATGTAAAAATTTTGTCTCAAACGCGTTTGAACGCATATAGAATAAAATATCCGAGAGCCTCGAAACGCACCCAAAACGTGTTTATAACCAGACACATTTCGAGACATCCAGATGTTTCATTCTGAACGCATTCAAACATCTTTTCTTCCAGTTTCCAGAAAGAAATGAGTTTTTCCAAACGCAAACGTTCCTTGAGATTCAAAGAGGTGATCGCTTTTATTCTAAACCAAGCATGGTTGTGTATATTTACATTATTTCTTGTGCAATTTACGCGTATTTTCCTTTCGTTTCTTTACATTTATCTCTTATATTTGACTATTTATTCAGTTTCTTGTTACAATAACACGTTAAAATGAACATGTTAAAACTGACAGTTTTTATCTTTAATACGTTTGAATGCATTGCATTAATAGAAAAAAGTTTTAATACCTCTGAATATCCGAATAAATAATGCGTCGAGGAATCTTAAATTTCTTAATTTTCCTACCGTATTTTAATATATTCAACTCATTTGAAATTTTAACCAACGCATTCAAACAATTTTTCACGCGTTCAAACACCTTAAAAGCATAATTTTATCGTTTCAATAATTCTAAAGACTTTAAAAATTAATACGTTCATCTTTTAACGTATTTGAACGCATGAAAAATTGTTTGAATGCGTTGGTTAAAAAGGCATTCGAATCAGTTGAATATGTAGAAGATCCATTATGACAATTAAAAGAATTCAATCTATATGCATTACCTTTTAAGACATACGAGGTGTAAAAATTTATTTTTATCTTTTTGATGCATTCAAAGAAAATACTACGTGCTATAAAAATAGTCTTTTGATCCAATGTTACACTTATTTTATGACTTTGGCATAGTCAGGGTCAGACTGTCTGACTCTAAGAAAATTGGTTTATCAAAATACCATTTACCAGTAAAAACAGTATGAGTGGCGACATCGCACGAACGGTGATAGATAAAGCTGAGAAAACAATTTCGTCATCACTTAGACATGGTCAGTATTCCCTTTAAGGCAGTGGCGGATCTATGTTGCTGTAAGTGCTGGCAGCCGCCAGCACCGAAATTTTTGATTTCATACTATTATACTCTCCTTCTTGTGCTACGTGCCGAGCGCATAGAACTTTTCATCGATTGTATTGCTCTTTTGTGCAAATCCGCCAGCACCGAAAATTTTTTCTAGATCCGCCTCTGCTCTAAGGTTGGTCAAGATAGGACTTAGAATTACTGAGACAGATCTCTAATAGAGAAGAGACTTAATTTACAAGAAAAATCGATTTATGCGTTGTCGTGCTTGTTAATGTCGAATATAGACGCTGACTTTTAGACCCAGTTGTCATTAGAGGAGATTGAAACAGTGCTTTCATTTCTTTCCCATCTTTCGTTCGTAGGAATGGAAGATGGGAAAGAAATGAAAGCACTATTTCAATCTGCTGTATTATAAGCGATAATGACCAACAAAGAAAAAGTAAGCCGTCATTTTCTGAAAATTCCAAATTTTGATCTCGATCATCTCAAAAATTCTCCAGCAGAACTCTCTCCGAACTGTTTTACACTCAGGACAATGATTACTACAGCGATAAATGGCAGTATACTACAGTTTATGATGATGGATACTGTAATATACGTCAAAATACGAGCTGTTTACGACGAAATACGATGATGTCTATCGTGGAGAAGGATTATGACGTCGTATTTTATCTGGAATGGATATGTATTTCGACGTATACTATAGTTTACGGCCGTAGAGCTTCGACCTGGGCAAAGACATCTATCTCACCGGATAGAAAAAAATCCCCGAGTGGGATATTTTTCAAAACAATTATTTCAAATAAACACAGTCGATTCTAAGAGGGATGTTTCAAGAATTAGATCACCCTTACACCGGTAAGACATGATGTAGCGAAAAAAAGTTGAAACACGTTGAAGAGCCTAGTGAAACAACTATGGTCAAAACGGGAAAAAAATCGAAGTTATTCTAAGTGTGAAAATATTTGCATTTATATTTACACAAGAGCGTAAAACAAAACGATGATTCAAGAATTTCCAAGATCTTGGTACAAGTAGTCCAGAAATTACAAGATAGATGTGCAAGATCTTGGCTTCTTGAAATTTCTTGAATTCTTATATTTTCTTACCAAGATCTTGAATTAAGATCTTACTGAAACAATTCAAGAAGTCAGGATCTTGTTTATAAGAAGGTCCACTAGGACAGTCTTAACATAAGAGAACTTTTTCCTTTACGGATATGCAAAATTTAACGAATTTAAACGCGTCAGAATTCTTTTTTAGTTAGTTAACGTGTGTAAGTTTATTAATATTTCATGCTACTAAATGCATTTAGAAATGGTTAACACATTCAAAGAAGATTTATTGAATCCAAAAAATTTATTGGACAATCAGCATTACTTTTCATATTTTTGAAAATTCGTCATATTTTGAAATTTTTTCCCTAGTGTGTTTAAAAAAACCTATGAATACATTGAAGATTAGGTGTTAACCTAAGCGAGCTAAAAGAAGTATTCATTGTTTCAAACAGCTCACTGTCAAGCTTGTGTTTATTTTTAAAGTGAGAGTTTGTTTACTATAAAAGAAAACAATATTCTCATGCCTGTTGTCTCGGCCATACATTTCGTTCAGGACGCATGTTATATGATTTCGGTTCGAACTGCGCATTCGAGGTTGCACCTGATATTGGTCTTCGATTGGGTGGAACTATATTTGTTGTTATATTTTTACTGCCATCGATTGAATTTCTTGAATGAGAGAGTGGAGATGGTTGATTTGTTGATGAGTTGAAACGGTATAATGGCTGGTACGATGAAGCAGACTAAACAAGTGAACAAAAGTCAAGCCAAGGGTGTGACAAAAGAAACGTTACGAGAAGTCTCTCCTGATGACAACCAGTAGGATGTACAATGACATATTTAAATAAGGATAAACAAACGGGCGAAACATAGTATACTATTGGCTACTACTGTTGTTTACAATTAAAATTGACTATTGAATTATAATAGCAAAGCCTGAAATGAGTGAGGAAAACTATCACAGAACTTATTTCATTCCCTAGAGATCAAATCTTATATAGGACCTCTATAAGAACCTTATAGAAATGCAAGAATCTTATGAATTTCTTACTAAGGTAGTCGATGGAAATGCATACAGTATTGAGAAGAATCTTATATAAGAAACTGGTAAGAGCCATATAATAATCGTATAAGAGTTTATAGAATTGTTATATAAGATATTTGTAAGTCAAGTACTCTATATTCTACTTTCTTACTATAATCTACTGTATCATAAGTGAATAAAATAATCTTCTTCCCATTTATTTTACTATACCATAAAGAAGTCTTAGTCCCAAAGGGTAGTCTAAAGACGCATCCTTATGATCCACTGCTTGTAGATAGGATTTACTTCTCCAAATTTATCATGACTATAGCAAAAGAGTGAAGATCGAAAGATAAAATTGTGAGTAGGACATTTCACTTAATCGCATAAAGTCCGCTTTTTCAAACCGACCTTTAGCAAAATGCATCACTTGTGATCCTTTTTTCTCTGTAAAGATGGCATCCAATTCAGACTCTCTAAGTCGTGGGAGATAGAGCAGCTCTAGTACCACTAATCTGCATCAAAACTCCTTTCATACCTGTCTCAATAAAGCATTAGAAGGAGTCACAAAAGAACTTCCGGTACAGCTACTTACATGACTGATCATTCAATAGTAAGTGGTCAAAGAAACGAGTTTTATAATTGATCGCGACATAGAATGTATTATTGAAAAACCTTTTAATGAATCGTAACTAATAAAATACAACACAGATCTTCACAGAAATTCATAGGATTTTATAGGTTTCCTATTGTAAGCTTTCCCGTGTTTCGTAGGATCCCATACGCTTCCTTCAGCTTGCATATAGGCAGACGGTTTAATTGATGTAAATAAAAGTTGTATGCTAACTTATCTAAATCTTATGAACTCTTCTAAACTAATTATATAATCTGTTTTATCGAAATCTTACCAGAATTTTATAAGATTCTTATATTGTTTCATATAATAATCTTATCAATAAATTAACGTATTTTCATCGACTGACTTATATAAGATTCTTATAAGATTCTTATAAGATCTCTACAGAATTGCCGTAAGTTCGGTCGTCTAGGGTTCTTTGGTGGTTCTTACGTGGAACGTTTCAGCTAGAACATTGATACTATATAAGGAACTTGACTATGTGGAACTTCCATAAGGCGAATGATGTTTAGCAATTTTTTCAGTGAGGTAAAACCTCGCTAGTGCAGTGCACTTCATGAAATAAGAGTTTTTGAAAGGTTTCTGAAGGCTTTCAAATACTGACGAATCAATAACTAGTGCTATATTCGCAAATATGTTTCTGACAGCGAAAAAACTAGCAAAACTTTGTAGACTGTAATTGGTTTTGAAGCATAAAAACTCACTGGGACGTTGGAGGATGGAAAAGGTGGAGCCGATGGGATTGAAGAAGCAGGTAGTGTTTGTTGAATCTGTCCATTGTGAGGAAGGAGATTTCTATCTATTGATTGGCGTCGAGAGATAGGGGGTCGTGCGCCGTTAGAAATTTGTGATAAAGTTGATGATCTTCGTCGTTGTTGTTGATTTAAGGAAAGAATTGGTGGCGTGTTGATAACGGATGAACGTCGTTCTTGTGATAAAGGCGATCGAAGATACCTTGGTCGTTTAGTATAAATCTTACGAATACCTGGTGCAATTTCGCTTGGTTTCAATGATTGATCTTGTTGAGCTGGGTCTCGTTTGCTAAAAACACCTTTTAGTGTATCCACAACATTTTGATAAACGACACGACCTGGTTCATTCAAGGGAATGTTTGCTAAAGGATTTACTGGTTTTGGTTGCGGCTGCGGTATAGGTGGACTGTAAGACGAAGGAGGCGGATACGGATTCGTAGAAACAGGAGGATGATATTCTTGATGTGGCTGGAAAACTGGCCATGGTGTTGGAAAAAAATTTGGATACCCGTGTTGTTGAGGAGCATATCTTTTTGATTCTAAATATCTATTAATTGTTTTTCGAATTGATCGAATTTCCTGAAGTAAATGCTCTGGCATACTATCGACAGATGCCTGACTGACACTTGTTAAGGATATAGTGGAAAAAGAAGAGACAGAGGATGATTGTGATGTTGATCTGTTGGAAGATAGTCGTCGATGACGACAGCCCTTGAATAAGTGACGATCAATGGTCGAACTACTGTCTGTCGACTGGTCAGAAGAAGATCTAAAATTTAATATATTCTACAGCACTAGCCGCTCAGACGTGGATTTAACAGTAAATTATTCTACCTGCATCTTAATTTCGGCTGCCATATACCGTGAGACACGCAGAAATCTTGTATAGCTGTAGCAAAATATGGATCAGTATCGATTAATCGTGCAATGTAAGCTTCATCATCGTTTTCATTAAATTCATGAACATGTTGATATGCGTGATGTAATTCTTGTTCTCTATACTGATGCATAGTGTGATGATGATTGTGCATATTCATCATATGTTGATTAAATTCATCCTGTTGAACTTGGGCCATTACAACATCCTTCATCTGATGTGGCATACCAGTTTGTAGTTGAGCTGATCGTAAGTGAGGCGAAATGGAAGGCGCGATAGAAATTTCGCCTGATTGATTTTTTCTATCTAACGTTTGCGTTGACTGCTTACTGATAGAAAATGATTTATGAAATAGATATTCGTTCTCTTGGTTCCGTCTTGGGATTTTTCTTCTTATCTGAGCGCTTTTCTCTAAACCTTTCCATGTCTCCTGAACCGGTGGCAGATTGTTTACGCTGTATTTCGGTCTACTACGAGTGTTTGATGTCCCTACAATAAGAGTTCGCCTTTGTGGTCTGATTGTTATGGGTATTTCTTCCTGTTTGATATATGTCAATTTTCGTCGACTTCTTGCTCGTGGATTTGTCATGTTTAGTAAAGGAATAACTTGATCTTCTCCTCCAAGTATTTGCTTTGTGTAATCGACACTATAATTATGATAATTAAACGAATCTTGGTTACTATTCGAAGATTTACATTCATCATCGTCGTTGTACATTTCAGAAAGTTTTCAGTCAAGGCTTGGTATTCATAAAGAGACGTGTGTACACTATAGCATAATAAAACTCATCTTGTATCTACGCATGTGTGAGTCAAAAGACAAGTATGTCCATGAGACAACTAGTAGGTATCTATCAAGTTTCGTTTCTCGAAGGATGATTTTTACCTTTAAAGAAGCAGAAAATCACTACTATAGATAATTGTACATACACTGAAGTTATTAGATAATAACGTGTTTTTAGATGTACACTGTGATGTTCAGAAATACATTGTAGAAGAAAAATTCACCGGACAAACTTCGTATAACCTATTTAATGATTGTACCATGAATTATCAATCTATGTCATGAATTGATAAGTCTAATATTAATTGTGTTTACGTGATATAGAATTAGAAAGCCAAATATAACGTTATTTAGAATTGTCAACAAAAACTACGCAATTTTATTATTATATTAATCTTTTATGAAAAATATAAAGAAATTTATACAAAAACACGTGATTTATCGTTAGTAATATGTTTCTGTATCTATGAGACCACCTGGATACTTTCGAATTACCCATTTTCGCCATTCGTCATAAATAAGCAGAAGTAAAGTGAATGGTAATGGAGCTAACCACCAATGAAATCTAAATAATAAAACAAAATTTTATTTCTTTGACTTCAAAAATGTTTGTATATAAAATAACTTTACTTAAGTGGATACATCATAAGCCCTCGATTTAAATATGGCGTATAAGATATGGCAGCAGCTAATACAGTTTCAAATATTAGACTGACATTTAAAACAGGATTTCTAGAATAAATAGAGCACATTACTTTAGCAACACGATGAATGTCGATAACGCACGTCATTCCTTGTTGAAATAACGAATTTCGTCTTGTTTTGCAACACATTAAAACTGTCCATTGAACAATAACAACAGCCACAAAAAATGCTGTGTGACAAGTATCTTCCAAGGCTTTTCGTTGTTCATATGTCTAAAACAATACTTTAAACTATAGCAATTGTTCAAGTTACTTTCATAATCGGTGACTGAAAGTCGATAACAATCCGATTAAGAAAGTCAATTGGCCAAGTTGCACAACTCATATTATACTCACAGGCCAAGTTGTGTTTGACTTTGAGCAACTCATATTAACCTTCTGTCGTATTTTCTCATAAAAATGGCCGAAAATAAGTCAGTTTTAGTCCTTATTTGGTTTACACTGAAACCTGTTCCTGCCCGAACTCTTTCGAAGCGTTTTAATCTACAAAAATCACGTCTTACACCAGTAAAAGTACATTCAAATTCAGAAACTTAATTTGAAATAACCCAAGGACTCTAGAAATAAAGGTACTGGGAACTATCATCCTAACTTTTTTCGTCAAAAAATGTATCGTTAAATAGTACGTTTAGACTTATAATATATAAATATCTCAAAAGCAGTCGCCACTTTTAGTTTTTTAATATGATGTATACTTCTTCTAGTCTCAAAGTTCCAAGATATCGACAGCTACGAAAGTTAATTAATGCAATCGATTTCGCTGCTGAAATAACATTTGTATATTGTCAATCCCATTGATATGCCTTGGGTATTTCGAAATTTTATCAAAAAGTCATGTATCAAAACGGGCTGACATCTTGATTTTTTATCATAAACTCATTTAACTGAATTCTGTATCTGATGTCAGTTTCAAATTTTTTTTCCTAATTTTCAATACAGAAGACTACACGAAGAACTCAAATCGTTAGGGCCTCACCGTAAAGAAAAAGTTCGATCAAAAAAGAAGCGAGGAAACGAGCGAAATATTTTTCGAATTTAAAGTAAGTGAAATTAAAGGAACTAGTTCACATTGATTCGATGTCTCTGTGAGAAAAAATATTGACTTTTTTTGACAATCCTCAACGTTGGATCTAAACGTTCATCGCTTACCCATTCCTGTCCGTACGAATCTTGTAAATCGTTTATATATCTTGAATCCCAGGATTTTCTTAGTCCAAGTAAACGTGATGGAAAAAATCCATTCTCAGCCATAACAACAGTATACACAAAAAATCCAGCACCAGCCTGAATCATCCCTAACTGACCATAACTCATTGAAATCAAACTATCATAACAGAAAATATCGATGAAAGACAAGTAGTTTTTTGATAATTCAATATTACCGATCATTAACAAGTCGATCTCTTTTTGAATTTCTTGGTGGTCTCTTCATAATATCTAATTCAGCTCTTTCATACGCCAACGAAATAGCTGGAAGCATATCCGTACCCAAATCAATACATAAAATGGCTATCGTACCTAATGGAAGTGGAATATCAAATATCATGTAGAACAAAAATGGAACTAATTCGGGAATTTTCGATGATAAGGTATAACAGATTGATTTCTTTAAATTATCAAATATCAATCGTCCTTCTTCGACTCCCGTGACTATTGACGCAAAATTATCATCTAACAAAATCATATCGGCAGCTTGTTTACTAACATCATTCCCGGCCAAGCCCATTGCAATACCAATATCGGCTTTTTTCAACGCTGGTGAATCATTGACGCCATCGCCTGTGACTGCAACTATATGTCCCAATCGCTGGCAGCCTTCCACAATCATCAGCTTCTGCTGTGGACTAGTTCTCGCAAATACAATTTCCTCGTGATTAGCTAATAGTGAATCTATTTCTTCGTTAGTCATAAATTTGAGATCATTTCCGTGAACTACACAAGCGTTAACATCATTTTCAGGGACATAAGTCAACGGGATATGTAAACGTTCCGCTAAATCTTCTCGTGTTTCACTTGTCTCTGATATAACACCCACTGCTCGCGCGATGGCTTTTGCTGTTATGGGACTATCACCAGTAATCATTATTATTTTTATGCCAGCTGATCGACATCTTGCTACGGCTGCTGAAACATTAGCTCGTGGGGGATCTATCATGGATATAAGACCTAAAAATCGATAATCTTTTGTGGGAAAATTGAATGCTTGGAATTTGGCATTAACATGAAAATTAATCGAATCACAATCGAAAGGAAAACCACGTGGGTAATCATGATAAGATAAACGCAAATCAGCAAAGCCTAATACACGTTCACCAATACTACCTAAAACATATAGGAAACCATTTTTCTTCCAATTCATTACATATACGAAACTCCTATTCATGATTTCTGGAAGAACTGTGGAAGAGCAGAAGCTTAAATTTATACGGGAGAAAAAAACAGAGATTTCCTCGAGTTCCAAATGGCAATTAATGAGCAATTAAAGATCCCAAACTGAGCTTAGTTTTCTAAACGTATGGAGAGTTTCATTTTAGAACATAGGTCTACGCGAGTAAGCTTTTTTATTATTACCTAACTCTTTGTAAGCATTGTTCAATTGTTTTTTCCAGTAGTCATTTAATGGTATCTCAAGTCCATCAATAAATATCGTTGAACATCTGTCTAATACCTTTTCTGGAGCTCCTTTCATGACCACCAAATATCGTTCATCTCTATCGTTTGTTTCATGAATCGACAACTGATATTTGTTTGTTGATGTAAATGGAACTTCGCATATTTTTTGATTTCGTGTCCGATATCGTATGACATTACCGATCTCAATAAACCGTAGTGTGCAATTTAATCATTCCCTGTTACAAAGTCAATTCAAAATTCTAAGCGCAGCGTCAACAGTATGTTGAAAAGAATTTTTATTTGAAAATGAGGGTTATAATTATTATATGTTCAGCACGGAGCTACTATTCGTCTCAAAAATTGATATACTCTACGATTTTATTGATAACATATGAATACAAATGAACAGAGACCCACGGTTTTCGCCCTTCGATAACCAATACTTAGGAATCACACTAGTCTACTTTCTTGACGATGTTCTTACACGATTCTTGCCGTTTTACACAAGAATTTTTAATTTCCCTTGATTGCTCAACAATTCTTGTTGTCTCAAGTTTTCATTGATTTTTCATCTTTTTTCAAAAAAAATTCTTGTCTAAAATGGCTTAATTGGCTGACAACCAAATCAATAACCTTTGTTGTCGATGTTCGTGCGATAGATAACTCACAATATTTGTGTTTATAATTGAATCTTTCAACGTGGATATTCTCAAAATCTATAAGCATTACATAACTATATATTTTAAAATAGCTCCTGTCTGGTTCGGGTAATTTCTAGGATAAAGAAGTGATCTTTTACACGTACTTTTGTCGTCATAGTGTATGCGTTATAATTGTAATTGATAATGTGATGTTAACTGTATTACTCTTCTCTTTCTTCTCTTGTTCGATAAAGGGTGGCCCAGAAGTCCTGACTCGATTTGTATAATAATTTTTCTAAAATAAAACACATGTTTGTAAATTTCTCTCTATGATGAAAAGACGCAGTAAAACACGCTCTACAAAATGGCTTTTGATTGACCCCGCTAGCTCATTATAGTAAGAAAGTTATAGACCTAGAAATGTGCTTCACAAAAAAGAAAAATTAACCATGAACTCTCTTCGTATGGTGGTGCTTTCAGTGAAAGTCTCGTAACTCCATCAAAACAAAAAATTTTTAGATTGGGTTTGTTCTGTTTTGATCAGAAATGATTGCTCTTCTCTACCTAACTGCAAAATCAAACTTCGATCACGTTTTCTATTTCTTGCTTGGATACCTTGTCGGAAACGGAGGTTTTCAATTTTTAAAACTTCATTCTCGAGTACACCATCTACTCTGAGTGAAATGTTTTACAGACCACGAGAAAGAGTGCATTCGAAAGTAGCAAACATAAACTGGGTTCTCACTTTTGCTAAGCTTTTTTACGGAAATAATAGGAGAAGAAAAAGTTCGAGTCGAAAAAAATACTGAATTTACGTTTCATTTTTCCGCCTTGCGTATAATTTGCTTAGTTTTCTTAATTGAAGTTCTAAAATTAAACTTTAGATATGATTTTGTAGAGCATTGCATGGCGCTTCTATTAAAAAAATAATTTGTTCTAGGGGACCTAAGAAACAGGAGTTCAAGCAAAAATATCGAGATCGGGTTCACCGTTAGCTTTTCTTTTTTGTGAAGCACATTTCTAGGTCTATAACTTTCTTACTATATGAGCTAGCGGGGTCAATCAAAAGCCATTTTGTAGAGCGTGTTTTACTGCGTCTTTTCATCATAGAGAGAAATTTACAAACATGTGTATTACTTTAGAAAAATTATTATACAAATCGAGTCAGGACTTCTGGGCCACCCTTTATATCTACTTCTTTATTCTCTAATTATGGTATCTGCAGCTATGCCATCGCCGACGTCCATCACATATAATATATATACTATTAAAATCCTTTTAAGGGAAGATATACAAAAGTAGACAATCGTTTATTGACGATTTTCTTTGACCTTCGTTGATTTTCTGTTTACGAAGATCAGTAGGGAAGTTTCATTAAAAAATATTTTTAAGAGTTGACGGTGAATGGAACGACGATGGTGCAGAAGTTTACGAATCAATTCCCGCGAGGGACCAAAAGTTAGTCTACTAGCCACCTCTGATGCCTAGGCTACTGTGAAGTTCAGAAGATCAGCTTTGCTTCAAGAGATATGAATTTTTTTAAATCTGGTTAACAGAACCAATGCATACCTGCCCATTACGTTGAAACAACTGTGCCTTTTTGTGTTTCAGCGTTCTTAGTTCAAACCTTGACTCGGCTACATCGCTTAGCTTATGAACATACCACAACAGCATCTTTCGATCGATATTGTTTCATGTTAAAAATTCGTCATGTTTTTTGTTCGTTTTCTGTCTCGATCGAAAGATGGAAGACAAAATGTTGTTGTGAACAAGGATGCATCGGATCTGTTCACCAGATTTTAAAAATTTCATATCTCTTAACGCAAAGATCGTGGAGAGCTAGAAACGATTTCAAGTTGTAGAAGACACTTGATTCTGTTATGTATCATTATTAAACTTGATCTTTTTGTTCGGAATGTACATCTATCGTTTTATTATCATAATCATAAAAATAGATCATAACAATAATCAATAGAGAGAACTGTGCCTTATAACTCAAACTCACAGACAAATTTCGTGATTTCTCGTTGTATTGCTAATTTCGAATGAATAAGTGAACCGTAAATTCAAGGCTCACTTTGGTTGATGAAATTTACTGAAATGAATGAGGTGCGGCGCAGATTTTAGGCTTTTCGCACTATCTTGTCAACCTTCTGCTTTTTTTCCGATATGAATGAAAATATTGTAACATAGAGCTCATGCATGGGTTTATAGGATTTTTCTGAAATGGTAAATAAATCATAACCCATATATCAGTAACTAACTAAATTTGAGTAGAGATGTGTTAAACCGGTAAATATTTGATGTTTATAGATAATTTCGAAACATATCTATAAGAAATCTGTTTCGAATTGTGAATCAATTTCATGTTACTACTGCTGTAAATACCTACCGATTGCTCGCAACATTTCAACAGAGCCGTTTCTGACGCATCACCATTACATTCTCTTTGTGGAATAGGTTTCTGGATATTCTCTGGATATTCTTTAAAATCTGCTCGACTACAGAGCATTGCACAGCGAGATAATGCAAGCCAACCAGGATTTGACTTATCATAAGCAGCATTTCGTTCAAGTGAGCCAATATCAGCATCCGAAATTGCATTATCAAACCACATATGTGCTACCGTCATACGATTTTGTGTTAATGTACCAGTTTTATCTGTACATATCGTTGTTGTTGAACCAAGTGTTTCAACAGCTTCCAAGTTTTTTACTAAACAATTTTTTCGTGCCATTCGCTTTGCGGTTAACGTTAAACAAACCTAAAATGAAGAGCAAGAAGGTTTAGAATAATCAATAAAGGACTGTCGCAATCCAGGAGAGTTTCTGAATAACTCTCTTTCCAATAAAAAATTTGATTTTTAGAAAAGTAAAAAAATGACACAACGTTCAGCCTTCATTTTATAGTATTTTCTGTGACAACAGTTAATATGAGCTTCAAACAAAAAAAGATTTTATTACATCACGACAGTCTTGAATAGTTGAACTAACGACTTAAACAAGTCTTTGGGAATAAAATAGAAAACTCGCCGACTTATACTAACCGTTACTGTAGCCAAAAGCCCTGGAATTGAAAAAAAGAAAAATTACTTTTTCAAATGAAAACTTTCAGATCTCTAGCCTCACCTTCCGGCACTTTAGCCACAATAACACTGATCAAAAAGACCACTGCTTCAATCCATGTGTATCCAAGTAGTAGCGAACATATGGCAAAAAATATGCCGATAACAACAGCAATTGTAGTTATTATATGAATAAAATGATTGATTTCTTGAGCTATGGGAGTTTGACCTTTTTCCAAAGCTGAAAGTTGAAAAAAGGTTAATGTTTTGTCTAACTTTTTAGAAAAATACTCACCAGCTGCTAAATTGGCTATTCTTCCCATAAATGTTCGATCTCCTGTACGAATCACAAGTCCTATACATGAGCCTTTTCACATATAGAAAACAATGTATTGCAAATAGTTATTCATTAATTTAATGAAAAAATTACCTTCAACGGCAAATGTACTAAAGAATGCTAAATTTCTTGTATCTAAAATATCATCTGTGGTGTATTCTGTTCCTCTTGGTTGTGGTTCAGATTCTCCCGTTAACGATGAATTATCAACTTTCAAACCGTGTGCACGAATAATTCGAATATCACCTGGAATACGATCACCAATCTTGACTTCGACAATATCTATCAGATGGATGAAAAAAACAAAATTTATAAAAATTCTAACTTTTAATTTAAAAAAAATAAATAAATACCTCCAACAACAAGATGCTCTGGATTAATATTGCGGGATCTTCCATGACGAACGACACATGCTTGCTATCAGATAGAGAAAGAATAATAGAAGAACAATTCTGATGATTAGTTATGAACATCTTTCAAATATGTACCTGCCTGTGGAATCAAATGTTTGAATGATTCCATTATTCTTGAACTTTTTGCTTGTTGATAATAGGAAAAACAACCCGTGATAAAGATGACAGTTGCTAATGCAATACCGAGCCATAACTAGAAAATAAAATGATGAGAATATTCGGTGGGAAATGTTCTCATTATGTTACATTATCATAATGTGCATCTTCCAACGTCATCACTTCCAGAGTATGTGCAATAAAACATAGTATCGATCCAATCCATAATAGCATTGCAAATCCACCAAACATATTTCTGGCAAAACGAACAATTTCCGGTGTTGTTTTTGGTGGTGTTAAAGCATTTGGACCATCGCGAAGAAGTAATTCAGCGGCACGTTCATCCGTTAAACCCTGTATGAAAAATAGAACAAGGTATATAATATAGAATAATGCTCAGAATATATTTATACCTGTACAGGATTGCTATCATATCTTCTGTACAGCTCAGTCAGTGAAATTTTATGCTCATCCTACAACGATTATACTCAAAAATAGATAACAGACTTATTTTACAGTCACTTACAAGATTTATTTCTTGTTTTAGCTCATCCAGCTCGATCGTTCGGTCATTTTTCTTCTGCACACGCTCTTTAACCTAGAAACAGAATAGAAAAGAAAGAAACAATTACGGTATTCAAATCTCAGCAAACATCGTGTACTCTGCACATGACTAAAAGACAAGTATCATATTGCTAGTTCTGATTCTTGTAGCTAATTGAAAAACTTATCCACAATTTCAGTTGGGTTTTTTATCTGAATTTTGACCAATTTACATTCAACTATTAGAGCTGTCACTGAGACAAGCGGTATCGAGCACATACGTCCGTAGTACAAACTAAAAATAACTCTTTCCAAAAGTTTAAAATTACTCTATCTAGTAATTCGAGATCGACAGACAATCTGTATGTCTCCGAAATGACGGATATGTACGAGACACAGAACTTTTTGTTTAATAAAGAGCAATAATGAGTAGAGAATTATTATTATAATTAATGGTATTATAGTGCGTTCTAGTCAAAAAAGATTTATTAAATGTTTTGTTTGTATTGTAAATTTTCTAGTGTAGTTAGTGAATGTATTTGGTACAAGTACTTGATTACTCGATGAGTATTTGGGAAGTACGTGACAAGTTAAGCACTTGGCAAGTACTTGATCAAGAACTTGTCAAGTGTCGTTAGTTGACTTGCTTCAGCCAAGTACTTGGGCAAACCAGTTACCCTTTTCTTTTGCATTGACCACTTGTATATAAAGACCACAATATCAATCGTTATACACTTATAAACTAAACTTATATATTTCTACTAAGTTTGTTCAACTTAGTAGTCCCATATGTAGAGTCAGATGGGGTAATACCAGCCACTTGCACAAAGTTTCTTAGTATTTTGCGTATTTCTAAGGCGTTTTTAATCGGATAAGCGTGCTATTGAATATGAAGATGGAACTAACAGTTCTCTATCCG